TAGCACATGTTATGCATCGTTCACTCGTTGCTCGGCATAGTGCTGGCAGCTGACTGACGTAGTAGTGCTTCTTGAGAAGGGCCTCTAATGCGGTTTTTCCCAGATGAGTGAGTTGGTGGTATTCCTTAACTAGATGCCCTCCAGTTGCTGTTGGAACAAAGATGCACCCATCTGGCATCATCTGTCATCCCTTTTCAGTCAGGGTGACTCCCTCAGCCATGGCCCATTCTTTTCCTTTTTAGTGTAACTGGGTGGGGGGACTTCTTCCGGGGGTGTTAAGGCCATGGTGAGGGAACGGGCTCTGTCCATGTCCTCACTGGCTGTGGTCTTGGCTGCCTCATCTGCCAGACGATTTCCCCACGCTATGGGGTTGTCTCCTTTCTGGTGTCCCTTACAGTGAAGGATTGCTACTTCCTTTGGAAGCCAGACGGCTTCGAGGAGTCTCAGTATCTCCTCCTTGTTCTTGATAGCTTTTCCGGCTGTGGTTAGGAGGCCCCTTTCCTTGTAGATGGCTCCATGTATATGTACAGTAGCAAAGGTGCACCGAGAGTCAGGATAGATGTTGATTTGCTTGCCTTCACCGAGGGCTCAGGCTCAGACTAAGGCATATAATTCAGCATGTTGAGCTGACCATCCAGCTGGTAATGCCTTAGCTTCTAGGACTTCAGTGGTTGTGGTTACTGCATAACCTGCTTTCTGGGCACCCTCTTGTAGGTAACTGCTGACATCACTGAACAGCTTGAGCTCTGGATTCTTTATGGCTTGATCCCGCAGATCTGGACGGCTTGCGTACACTTCATCAGTCACCTCGGAGCAGTCATGGTCTGGTTCCCCCTCTTCTGTGGGGAGAAAGGTTGCTGGATTTAATGTCCTTACTGTTTTGAGGGTGACCCGTGGGTTTTCGCAGAGGAGCCCTTGGTATTGCGCTAGCCAAGAGTTGGAAAGGAAGCGGGGTCCCTGTGCGTTCATGAAGGACACAACTGCATGAGGGACCTTGACGTTAAGTTCTTGCCCCAGGGTAAGTTTGTCTGCCTCCTTGATGAGTAGGACTGTGACTGTCAGCACCCTGAGGCACGGCGGCCATCCCGCTGCCATGGGCTCCAGCTTCTTTGACAGGTAAGCAACTGGCCATTGCCAGGGTCCAACAGTCTGGGTGAGTACCCCGAGCGCTATTTTTTCCTTTTCATGCACAAAGAGATTGAAGGGTTTTTCTACATCTGGTAGGCCCAGGGCTGGAGCCCACCCCAGGGCAGTCTTTACCTCTGTGAAAGCGGCTTCTGCTTCCTCAGTCCAGGTAGGGGGTTCTCGATCTGGTCCCCCTAAGAGATCATAAAGGGGTCTTGCTATTGCTGAGAACCCAGGGATCCAGATGTGGCAATATCCTGCAGCCCCCAGGAATTCTCGTAGGCCCCTTTTTGTCTGGGGCTGTGGCAGGGAGATGATGACCCTTTTCCTCTCCGACCCTAGTTCTTTCTTCCCTTAGGTAAGGAGGAAACCAAGGTATCGGACCTGTTGTTGGCAGATTTGTGCCTTCCTCCTTGAGGATCGGTATCCCGAGTCTGACAGGAGCTGTAGGAGGGCCTTTGTGCCTTTTGTGCAGTCTTTTTGTGTGTCACTGGCGAGGAGGAGGTCATCCACATACTGGAGGAGGGTGCATCATGTGGCCTCTCTTGGGAAGCTGGCGAGGTCTGCGGCCAGCGCTTCCCCAAAGAGGGTTGGTGAGTTTTTAAACCCCTGCAGGAGGCGCATCCAAGTCAGTTGCATCTGGCACCCTGTATCAGGTTCAGATCATTCAAAGGCAAATAGTGGCTGGCTCTGGGGAGCTAAGCAGAGGCAGAAGAAGGCATCCTTCAAATCTGGGCAAGTGAACCATCTGGCCGACCCTGGGATTTGGCCGAGGAGGGTGTATGGATTCGGAACCACTGGGTGAAGAGAGATGGTCACCTTGTTGATGGCCCACAGGTCTTGAACTGGTCGGTATCCCCCTCCTGGCTTCTTGACTGGCAGGAGTGGGGTATTCCAGGCCACCTGGCACTTGACTAGAATACCTGTTTCTTTGAGTTTGGTCAAATGTTCTTGGATGCCGATCTTAGCTTCTTGTGGAAGGGGGTATTGCCTTTGCCTCTGAGGTTGGGCTCCTAGGATCAGTTCAACAATGATAGGCCCGATTCTGGACTAGTCCAGGTGGGTTGTTTTCAGCCCATACTGAAGGGAAGGTGAGTCTGAACTCCGGCGGGCTGCTCGGTTGGGTCTGGGCACAGAATAGCCTCCATTCTTCTTCCCTTGGTGTGGTAATTGCTAGTATTAGAGACCTTGTCTCCTCCTGCCTTGGGTTCAGTGAGAGGCTAGTGTGTCCTGTGGGCTCAAAGATTATCTGAGCCCTAAGCTTGGAGAGTATGTCTCGGCCCAGGAGAGGGATGGGGCAATCGGGCAGATATAGGAATTCATGTCGGACCTTGTGGCCCCCGAGTTTGCACTGGCGAGCCTGGCAAAAGGGCTGTTGTATCGCCTGCATCCCAGTGGCCACGAGGATGGTCGCAGTCCTTTTGCTGAAAGGTGCCACTGGGGAGGTGACAACAGAGTGCTCGGCCCCAGTATCAACCATAAAAGTCACTGGTTGGCCCCCCCTTCATTTTGACCGTGGGCTCATGGGGACCAAGGAGGAAAGAGCCCAGTCCCCCTCAGTCTGAGTCCATTCCTGCAAGGCCTTATGAGGTCCTCCTCTCGGGGTTCTTCCTTGTAGCGACTGGGCTCTTTAAGCCTTTCCCTGGTTGGGACATTCGTTTTTCCAATGTCCTTTCTCTTTACAGGAGGCACATTGATCCCTTGCCAAGGGGGTTCTGGGCTTCCCCCCTTTCGGTGGTTGGGGTCTCCCTGCCTTTGTGTTGTCCTTTTCTTTAAAGGCAGTGGCCAGGAGGCTGACTTTCTTTTTCATCTTTTTGTCAGCTTCCCGTTTGGCTGCGACCTCCCTGTTTGTGTAGACCTTATTGGCAATCTCTGTTAGTTGGGTGTTGTTCATCCCGGCAAAACCCGCTAGTTTCTCAAGTCTTTTTTTGATGTCTGGGGCGGCTTGAGCCATGAAGGAAGTGTTTACCATCTGTTGGCTTTCCTGTGCCTCGGGGTCAAATGGAGTGTATATCCTGTAGGCTTTACATAGTCTTTCGTAGTAGTCCCCGGGGGACTCCCCTGGTTGTTGAGTGACTGAGGATACCTTAGTCACATTTATGGGTTTCTTAGCTCCTACCCGGATTCCCTGGAGGAGGGCCTCCTGGTACCGGCGGATGTGGGCCTGTCCCTTGGTTGTGGTGAAGTCCCATGCTGGGCGCTCTTCGGGTGTGGCTGTATTAGCCCGGGCAGCAGGGCTGATGACTCCCGCTGGTGCATACTCTTCCAGGTTCCTTGGAAAGGTGCACCTTTCATTATTCTCCTCCTTTCCTCTGTGTTAAATAGTGTGTGGAGGAACTGTTGGTAGTCTTCCCAGGTTGGCCGATGAATCTGGAAGAGGGATTCTATGAGGTCTACCATAGCCTGTGGTTTCTCAGAGTAGGATGGGGTGTTATGTTTCCAGTTGAGGAGGTCAGTAGTGGTGAAGGGCTGATAATACATCATGAAATGGCCAGGTTGGATTGTCCTGTCTTCATTGTGCCTCTTGGGTTCCTGTGTCTCTCGTACCAGCATTTGGAGGGTGCTTGCACCCGGCCTGGGGCACAGCTTGGCTGCTGGTCCTGGAGAAAGGGGATCTTTTAGGCCTAGGTGCACCGGTGGATCCTCTGGGCCTGGGGGCGCCAGTGAAACCGATGGTGGCAGAGTGTCTGGAGCTGAAGGGCCAGGTGTAGGCGGTCTTGGGGGTACGTACAGTGGGGACAGGGTTGGTTCATCCTCGGGATCTCTGGCTAGGATTTGTGGAGACTGGGATTTTTGCTGATTTTCTTTAGGTTGCTTGGATGAGGCTATTAAGACTCTGGCCTGTCCCTGCCTATTGCAAGCGAATTGCACCCGGGGGGGAGGGTCTGAGCAATTCCTAGGCAGGAGTCAATGTACGGAAATTGGTCAGGGTGTCCTGGTTCTCCTGTTATGACTCACCATACTTGACGAATCATTGGGACATCCAATGTTCCTTCTGAAGGCCACCCAACATCAAAGGTGGGCCATTCCAATTCACATAGGGTTCTCAACTTGCTGGGGTTCATCCTGACTCCATAGTCTCCTGAAAACCCCTTCTTGAAATTTTTGATCATGGTCTCTAGAACCGTAGGTTTACTCTGCCCTGACCCCATGGTGATTTCTCTGTGTGTGGTGGCACAGAGACAGACAAAGGGGGGCGGGGTGCCTCCTGAGATGAGGAGACCAATCAGATGCCCATCTGGCTGTGTCCTGAAGGAGCTTAGCCGTAGTGGTCTCAGCATTGTGACTTACGGTCGGAAACTATTCCGATGCCTCCACAGACTGTATGCTGTTCACCACGGAATCGCAGATGGGCCCACTCAGACTCCGGAGACCTTAAGGGTGCCCGCCTGTGGAGTCACAGAATCAGTCTGCTTGAGCAAGCCAGGTTGGACTGCATGTTCACTCACACATTCACACTCCAGAAGTTATTACATTCCCTCCCTGGGAGTCCCTACCTGTGAGACCTCTAAGAGGTCTCTGGGAGGTGATCAGGCTCCCCTTACATCCCAATGGGGGTGGGCTTGTCTGGGTCCTGGGGCCCCAGGCCTTACGGGAATCCGACGTCAGGACCAGGTCCTCACCTGCCAAGTCTCCTCAAGTCCGGCGGGAACAGAGGAGCAGGGCCAGCCCGAGGTGACAGGGGTGGGAGAGTGGCGAAAATTAGGCAGGCATGCCTTCTCTGTTACGATCCCTCGTTCAGTTACCGCCCTGCCGTTGCCCCCAAAACTGGTGGCAACAATGGGCCATCGCGGTTGGGTTTCCCGGTCAGGGAACCATATGTTACGGAACCTGGACTGGACTGCCCGACGGAAGAACCAAGCGGCACCCGGAGATCTTGGAGGATAGGAGGTTTATTTAATGCTGGCGGGCCCAGAGGGGAGTGGTCTCCAAAGGTCTGAGCCCCGAGCACAAACAAAGGGGGCAATTTATACACATCTACTTCCGCATACTGGGCACTTTTGGCGCATGCACGAAGCGGGGCAGGGAGAAGAACCCAGATTGGTGCTCGTGGGAAGCAGAGCAGGAAGAACCCGGAAGAGCCCTGGGGCAAGGACTGGGGCTCTCTCTCTGGCTCAGTCAGCCATCTTAGGACACAGGTTTTCCTTATCAGAACTACAAGGAAAAGTTTTCGACTTTGACTTGAGGAGATTCATGCAGAAATAGAACTGAAAGAGTTCACATGAGTGGGGTCACCTTGAAAAGAAATGGTGACCTGCTGGTTCTGGAGGTCCCAGGATTGGCTGAAAGTAGGCCTTCTCTGTTCGCAGGTGATAAACTGATTTTAAAAACTCAAGAGTACAACAGACATGTCATCAAATACTCGGCTATGTGACTGAAATTCATGAAGATACATAATTCTTAAACTTAACCCAGAATTTGAGCAAGCATATAACTTTGAGCCTATGGATGTGGAATTCACATATAACAGGACCACAAGCAGATGGTGTCACTTTGCACTAGAACACGTCACCCACTTAGCTGTTAAAGTGTTGTTTCCAGAAGAAATCATTTTACAGTCTCCCCAAGTGACAGGGAATTGGAACGATGCACAAGACACCAAAAACAATGGACAGTCCACCATCAAGAATAGGAAAGCCTTGAAGGACCATACTAAGCACGCAGCAAAGGAGAGGCGGGCTGGTGCCCAGGACACGCTGGGGCCAGTGGCCTTTGCTGAAAAGTCAACTGATCTGGTAAACGAAGTTCAGATCCCCAAGGCGAGAGAAGGAATTTTTCAATCCTGTGCTCAATGAAAACCAGAAGTTAGCGGCTAGAAGAATCCTGAGTGGCGACTGCCGCCCACTCCCGTATATTCTTTTTGGACCTCCTGGAACCAGGAAGACGGTGACAGTTCTAGAGGCTGTTTTACAGTGAACTACGCTTTGCGGGACAGTCGAATATTGGTCTGGGCACCCTCCAACAGTGCGGCTGACCTCGTGTGTCTGTGGCTGCACGAGAGCCAGGTGCTGTGGCCCGGCACCATGGTCCATGTAAATGCCACCTGCAGGTTCAAGGAGACAGTCACTCATGCCATCAAACCAGACTGCAAAGTTGGAGAAGATATCTGGAAGGCCTTGCACTTCAGGATCATAAGCATGACATGCAGCAGCAGGGATCTCTTTTACCAAATAGGAGGGAGAGTTGGGACATTTTACACATGTGTTTGTGGACGAAGCAGGACAGGCGAGTGAGCCGGAACGCCTTATTCCGCTGGGGCTGGTTTCAGAGGCCAACAGCCAGACTGTCCTTGCCGGAGACCCCATGCAGTTTGGACCCATCATCAAGTCTAGACTCGTCATGGCTTATGGGCTGAATGTTTCTGTGTTGGAAAGACTGATGTCCCGGCCAGCATATCTGAGGGATGAAGATGCTTTTGGTGCTGTGGTGCCTACAACCCCCTGTTGGCTACAAAGCTCATGAGGAACTATAGATCCCACCCAGCTCTGCTGGTGCTGCTGTCCGGGCTGTTCTACCACAGAGAGCTTGAAGTGGGGTGACCTCCCTGCTGGGCTGGGAGAAGTTACCAGAGAAAGGCTTCCCCCTCATTTTCATGGCGTGAAGGGCAGCAAAGCTCGTGAAGGGAGGAGCCCATCGTGGTTCAGGTCATGCGCTGTTGCTGCCTCCTGGCCAGGGGCATCACCAGCCAAGTCTGCAAGTGATATTGGTGTGATCATGCCCTACCGGAAGCAGGTGGAAAAAATCAAAATTATTTTGCGAAATGTTGATCTGATGGACATAAAGTTCGGATCAGTAGAGGAGTTTCGAGGGCAAGCATATTTGGTCATCATCATCTCCACCGCATGGTCAAATGAAGATAGATTTGAAGATGATAGGTATTTTTTGGGTTTCTTATCCAACTCAAAAGATTTAATGTTGCAATCACCAGACCCAAAGCCTTGCTGATTGTGCTGGGAAATCCTCATGTTCTGCATCCCTGTTTTGGTGCTTTACTGGAATACAGCATTACCAATGGTGTCTACGCAGGGTGCGATCTGCCTCCTGACCTGCAGTCCCTGCAAAAAGTCAGGATCAGAGGGACCCACAGGACCAGGTCCACAGCCCCAGTTGGTAAGGCATGGCCAGGAGGCCTGGCACCACATCCTAGGGAGCTGCTGTCCTCACCTCTGTGCTGGGGCACCTGCAGCCTGCCTTGTGTCCTGGCCTTGGCCATGAGCATGGGGGCCATGGGGTCAGATGGAGCCTGCTGTCCGTTCTCCACACCAGCCCATTCCTGCTGCTGGGCAGTTACTGCAACCCATCACTGAAATAAATGCTCACATGGGGCACCTCGAGTGCGGCTGGCTGGAGGAGGCAGGCATCAAAGTGTAGGATGTCAGGCTGAACGGCTCCACAACGGGCCACGTCTTGGTCAAAGACAACAGCCTGTGTTGCAAAGACTGCACCTGATCTTTCATGTGGCTCTTCCCACGGAGGCAGAATTTCAGCTGGTCAGGGATGTGGTGCTGTGCTCCCTTCCAAACTTTCTGCTAGAGGGCGTGAACAAGCTCAAGATCAGCCCGGTCACCCTGAAGGAGGCGTATGTCCAGAAGCTGGTGAAGGTCTGCACGGACACTGACCGCTGGAGCCTGATTTCCCTCTCCAACAGGAATGGGAAGAACGTGGAGCTGAAATTCGTTGACTCCATCCAGCGCCAGTTTGAATTTAGCGCAGACTCTTTTCAGATCATCCTGGACTCTCTGCTCTTCTTCTACAACTGCTCCAGCAGCCCCATCTCTGAGCGCGTCCACCCCATGGTGATCGGGGATAGTGCGTATGGGGACTTCGAGGAAGCCTTCGACCACCTGCAGAACAGACTGATCGCCACCAAGAACCCCAAAGAGATCAGGGGCGGGGGACTGCTCAAGTACAGCAACCTCCTCATGCGGGACTCCGGCCCACAGACCAGGAAGCAATCAAAGCTCTGGAGCGTTCCAGGTACTCCAGGACTGAGGAAGGCAAGCATGCGGGCTTGGTCAAGCCCGGGACCCTGCGGGCACAGCCACGGAGCTTTCCCTTGGCTGACCTTGTGCCGCGCCAGGCCCAGCACCCGCATACTACAGTGCGGCCTGGACACCATCACACCAGTGAGCAAACCTTACAGGTGGAGAGGGAGGGAGGTGTGCGCATACTTAACAGAAGAAAAAGTCCTCTGGCATTCTTTCAGTTGGGTGCTTTTTAGCTCGGGTGAAGGCCTGGCGTGCTCTAGCGGTGTGGGCAAGCCTGTGCAAATAAGTGACATTTTTGAAGTACCCTCTCTGTCTAAACTCCTTTCTACTAATTAAGTGAAGCTGGACAGCAGTGCTGGCTCGTTCCTTCAGCTTCATGTTTGTACACATGCCTACGACCCACGAGGGCAAGCTGTGAGAGCTGCCACAAGAGCCCGCGGTCTCCAGTGTCATTAGATGAAGACCAGGAAGAAAGGGTGGCTGCTGCGAGACATGCGAACGGCACAGCTGCGGGCCAGGTGCCTCCCCAGGCTCTACCAGGATTTCTAGGGACAGGGAACTGCTAGCCTCACCATCACTGTGACCCCCATCCTCTGCTGGGGCCTTTCTTGCAGCTTGGGAGCTGCAGGTGGGCCCTAGGGATGGGAGTCTTTTTTGGGCTTGGCCATCCCAGGGTCAGTCAGCTCCGGCAGTGGAGGAGTCCAGCTGATCTTTTGGCTGTGCAAGGATGACTGGGTAGGGCACCACAAGGCTATCCCTAAGTCACTAGGTCGAGCCATAGGAAATTGTCAATATCTGACCATTCTGATCTTTGAAAATGGCTATTTCATGCGGTTCAACCTAAACTTTTAGTAAGGGGAAAGGAAAGAAACTGAAGCCCAGACTATTATCTGCAGTAGATTCTATTCAATCTATTAGAAGTAGAATAAGTTTCCTAGAACATTAGTCTCCCAATTCATTTTTTCATCTTTCATTTGTTTAAGGTTCTGTTATGGGTTGAACTGTGTCCTCCCAAAAGGTATGCTGAAGTCCTAATCCCCCACCTCATGATGTGAGCATATTTGGAAATGGGGTCTTTTTTTTTTAGTCTCCACGACCAGTGTGGAGCCCAATGCAGGGCTTGAACTCAACGATCCTGAGATCAAGACCTGAGCTGAGCCCAAGAGTTAGATGCTTAACTGACTGAGCCACCCAGGGGCCCCAGAAATGAGGTCTTTATTGAGGTAACTGAGTTAAAGTGAGGTCATTAGTGTGGGCCCTACCAATGACTTGGTGTCCTTATACAAAGGGGGAAATTTGGCCAAAGGGAAGATGATGTGAAGGCAGCAGTGATGCATCTACAAACCAAGGAATGACTGAGGCTACCAGCAGCCAGGAGAGAGGCTTGAGGCCTTCAGAGGGAGCTTGGCCTTGTAGAAACCTTGATTTTGTACTTCTGGTTCCCAGAACTGTGAGGCAATGAGTTCCCCTGTTTTTTCAAATCACCCAGTATGTGGTACTTTGTCATGGAAGGCCTAATGTGAAGGGCTGAATGTTTGTTCCTGCCCCTGCCTTCCTATGTTGAAATCCTAATGGTATTAGTAGTGGAGCCCTCATGAGTGGGGTTAGTGCCCTAATAAGAGGATCTAGAGAATCTCTAGCCCCTTCTACCACATGAGGACACAGTGAGAAGGTGCCAGCTCTAAGCCAGTAAGCTAGCCCTCACCAGAAGGTGACTGTGCTGGTGCTCTGATCCTTGCCTTTCTAGGCTCGAGAGCTGTGAGCAATAACTTTCTGTTGTATATAAGCTACCCAAGTCTGTCGTATTTTGTTATAGCAGCCTGAATGAAGATACCTAGGAAGTAAATATAGGTTCCTTCCAGTGATGATCAACTATGTCGCTGGTAAGACACAACAGGACAGATTATATTAAAAATGGTACGGTTGTTTAATCCCTAGGATCCAGATCTGAAGTATTCATTCATTCCTATAGGAACTAGTCGTACTTCCTACCGTGGCCAAAACCATTTGTTTGGATACAATAAAGTTAGCCTTGTTCTTTCTTCCTGCCTTCCTTTTTTTCTTTTTTGATGTAATATTCCATGATTCATTGTTTGTGCATAACACCCAGTGCTCCATGCAGAACGTGCCCTCTTTAATACCCAACACCAGGCTAACCCATCCCCCCACCCCCCTCCCCTCTAGAACCCTCAGTTTGTTTCTCAGAGTCCATAGTCTCTCATGGTTCGTCTCCCCCTCCGATTTCCCCCCCTTTATAACACACACACGCACACACACTCCTTCCTTTGGTTTTCTGGCATTTTCAAGTTTGTGGTAAGAGTTTCAATATGAATTTTTTCTTCAGTCTGAAATGGGGGAAATATCATGCTTGTGCAACCTTAAGGAGTCCATTCAAATTTAGGAGAACCAGAAACTTATTATTCTAAGGAGACACTAAGAATTGCTGATACTGTCACACGGAGTCCTTCTGTGTTAAAGAGTTTAGAAGGTGGAAATAGAGCTCCTGGAGTTGTATTCCAAAGATTTGTTGAGGAAGATCAGGGTTAGCAGGCTTCACCCTCTGGGGGACTCAAAAGTAGGTAAGTAGAGCAGAACTGGAGACAACAGCTTCTTCTGGAGGGAAGTAGTGCAGATTGGTGTAGAATGCACCAGAAGCTCTTTTATGTCAAACTTTTTTTTTTTCTAGTTTTACAAATAAACCTAAACAAACAAAATAACAGAAGGTGATTGTAAGTCAGCTGACTGCAGTCAGATGGGACTTATCTGAGTAGAAATATATAGTTAAGGAAAGGGATTTTTTTTTAAACAGAAGCACTTTATTTATTTATTTATTAAAAAGATTTTATTTATTTGACAGACAGCGAGAGAGGGAACACAAGCAGGGGGAGTGTGAGAGGGACAAGCAGACTCCCTGCTGAGCAGGGAGCCCGATGTGGGGCTGAATGCGGGGCTCGATCCCAGGACCCCGGGATCACGACCTGAGCCAAAGGCAGACGCTTATCGACTGAGCCACCCAGGTGCCCCAGGAAAGGGATTTTGATTCATATTTGTACCTTCCATCTTTGGGCCTACTCTCCTTTCTTAGCCAAATTAAGAATCAGGTTTTGACTATCACAATACAATAGTGCCTCTGGGAACCGGTCCTCTCCCACTTGGTCATTTCATCGTTCATTACCACTTCCACTAGAGATAGTTAGGAAAGTGAAAGGAAGTGAAATTACAACTAAGCCAATCTGGAACCTTTGATACTGAAAACCTTAGGGAGATAGGACACATAAACCACAGCCTGGAATGGAGTCTTTAAATTGACTATGGATTCAAATTATTCAGGATCTTATTCCTGCTTCTTTTATCCATCATTTCTGCAAACAGCTGATACTTGGCAGGGGGTGGGGAGGTAGAATGCATAATAAGACACAAAAAGCATTAATGATAAAGGAAAAAAAATTTAATAAATACAACTACAGTAACATGAAAAAAACCTTCCGTTCATAAAAAAGATACCTTAAGGCAAATAAAAGTTAACTTACATACTGGAAGGTGCAGTTATACGTCCAGTAAAAACATTAATACAAAATACAGAAAGAACTCCTGTAAATCAGTTAAAAAAAAGGGGGGGGGGGAACAACAAAAGAGGCTGAACAAATAGGAATTTTACAGAATGGAAAACAAGTATGGTAAATGTATGAGGAGATGCTCATCTTCATAGGTGATCAGGAAAATGCAAATCAAGATCACACAGAGATAACATTATATAACCATTTGATTGGCAAAAATTCAGAAGTCTGACTTTACCAAATGCTAGAGAAGACAGGGATCAACAGAATCTCATATATTGCCGGTGGGAGTATAATTTAGTAACAGCTTTAGAAAACAAGCTGGTGTGTTCTGCTGCAAAGCTGAATACTCCCATACTCTACAACCCAGAAATTCTACTCCTAACTATATGCCAAGCTCTCGTCCGTGTACACCATCAGAATGTTCACAGCAGCCCATTCACAAGAATCCAAGGCCCATGGGAGACCTGGGTGGCTCAGTCAGTTAGGCTATCAACTCTTGATTTTGGCTCAGGTCATGATCTCAGGGTCGTGAGATCAGAACCCCACATCAGGCTCCAGGCTGGGTGTAGAGTCTGCTTAAGATTCTCTCTCTCCCCAGCCCTGCCACTCCTCCACTCTCCATCCCTCTCTTTAAAAGAGTCCAAAGCCCAACATCAAAAGAGGAGATAAATCCACTGTGGTATACTCACACAGTGGAATATCACTAAACAGGAAAAATAAGGAAACTACGTGCCAACAACAGAGTGAACTTCAGTAATGTGAAGCTGAATGAAAAGAAAATCAACTCCCAGAAAAGTACAGAGTACAAAGTTCAGAACAAACAACTAAACTGTACATTCCTATCAGAGAAAGACAGGTATCATATGATCTCACCGATATGAGGAATTTTTAATCTCAGGAAACAAACTGAGGTTGCTGGAGTGGTGGGGGGTGGGAGGGATGGGGTGGCTGGGTGATAGACATTGGGGAAGGTATGTGCTATGGTGAGCGCTGTGAATTGTGCAAGACTGATGAATCACAGACCTGTACCTCTGAAACAAATAATACATTATATGTTAAAGAAAAAAAGAAGAAGATAGCAGGAAGGGAAAAATGAAGGGGGATGAAATTGGAGGGGGAGATGAACCATGAGAGACTATGGACTCTGAGAAACAAACTGAGGGTTTTAGAGGGGTGGGGGGATGGGTTAGCCTGGTGATGGGTATTAAGGAGGACACGTATTGCATGGAGCATTGGGTGTTATACGCAAACATGGAACATGAATCATGGAACACTACATCAAAAACTAATAATGTAATGTATGGTGACTAATATAATAAAATAAAATAAAAAAATAAAAAAAATTAACCGTACATTCCTTAGATACACACATATATTCTTGATACAACTTACGAAAATAACAAATTAGGTATAAGTGAATAGAACATTGTATGTTAATTATACTTCAAAAACTTTAGGGGAAAGCAGGAAGATGAGATGGGAAATATTTAGGTAGGGGTATGCTATTAAGATTCTGGTTCTTGGCTGATGGTAGGTGTTCAGGGTGTTTCTTCTTAAGTCGAAAAGTACATCAGTGAATGAATAAATAAAAGATGACTGTTTCATGCATCAATGATGCCCACTGTGTCCTAACTCAAAGATTCTGATTAAGCCAAACCTGGGCATCTGAGGTCCCTTAAAATAAAACAGAATAGAAACAAACAAAAAGCACCGGATATCTAAATTAACTCGTCTACATCTGAAGCTACGGAATGTAAGGCTTCAAGGGCTCTTCCCTTGCAAAGGCCCCGTCAGAGCAGGGGCTGGGAGTGCTCAGGGATGCAGTCTGGAAGTACTTCTGATAAACTGCTCACGGGGAGCACAGAGGGAAGGGCCCTGCATCTCTAGACAGCAGCAGCAGGAGCATGCTGTGGTTTCTTTCCTCATTTTAAATAAAAACGCACATTTGTACCCAATTTTGCATTCTTTTTCTTTAATTTCTTAAACTGTGCAAGCTTTCGGTGCCACAAAACCTAACTCCTGCCCTGCTAATCCACTGACATAATCATGTCACAAGGTACACAAGGGCCTACGGTGGACTCTCCTCCAACCTACCTGGTCCTCTTCCCAGAGGAAACCAATGTTTGTGTCACATTCCTGAAGGTGTATGCAACACAAGAATATACAGACATTTCGCCCTCCCTCCCATGTATTACTTTTTACTTTGAAATGTCAAGCTGACAGAAAAACTGTGAGACTAGTACAAAGAATGGTCTCCTCTGGAACCACTGGAGATTAACTTGCCAAAATGTGTGTAAAATGCCAATATATGAAGTTACTCACAATGTTATTTCTAAGAGCAAGAGACTAGGAAAACATTCATGTCCAAGATCTCCAATTCCAACCCAACACCACAGGGTTCATTCTAGTTTTCTCTTTCCGTATCTGGAAATCCCTTCTCTGACAGTAAGGCACCTGGCTCCCCTCTCGGCTGCCAGCCCGTGTAGACGCCACTGTCCCGCATAGGCTCTGACACCCTGCACTGAGCCACTTGCCCGTGTGGACACCCCACCCTCTTCACTCCACTCAGGCTCCAACCCGGTGCTCGGCCCCCACAGCCACACCTTGCTGCAGCCTCCAGGCCAATCCCAAGCCTACCATGCCCACTCTACCTAATGGCTTTTGGAATAAATTATTCAGGAAGGAAGGAAGGAGTAAAAGGGAAAGAGGGAGAAAAGGGGAAGAGAATGCAAAGATCTCTACATTTTCTCTATTAGTGATGATACTACATTCACAGTCCTGCATCTTGTGCTTTTCATTCAATATGTATTAATGAGATAGCCCCATAATTAAAGAATGTCCTTATTACTTATGGCACCATAATATGCCACAAAATGTTTTGTGGCACACACAGCGTGGTTGCTCAACCAGCCTCCTCCTGATGGGTAGCATGTTTCGGCAATCTTCCGCTATTCCAAATAGCTTCACATGAGTAACACACTTACTGTGACAGCAGGGCAACACATACATTGTAATTTTGCACACTTTGGTACACCTGTGGGATCAGGTCCTGGCAACAGGTGAAAAAGCACACGACTTTCTAGTTTTGATAGATTTTGGCAAGTAGCTCTCTACCAGTAATGTTTAAGAATACCTTTAACTTGTTTTTTTACATGATAGGGAATTGAGAATTTCTGGGCATTTGCGGGTTATAAAACCAAACCAAAACCAAAACCAAAACAAAACCCAACAACTCCAAGCCCCCAAACACAAAACCCAAGAAACTAAACCAGACCAAAAAAAGACATAGTGGTACTTTCTTACTTGTTGCCTCGGAGTATAGGGTCTTTTCATCCACACTTCGGACATTACAGGAAACAAACAATTTCCTTCCTTCAACTTTATCAAGCTGGCTATTTATCACAACAACAGAACAAAGGGGGATAGGCCTGCACAAGAAAAAAAAGGGGACAAAATTTGTTTCTATTAAATTTGTGTAACACTGAGATGACCAAGTGCTTGTGAAGGGGTGGAAATCTATAATAGCTGGTATCAGCATGTGTCGGATAAAACTGTCTCAGATCAGACACCCCTTCCCTGGGCTGAACCCAGTGGCCATCCACACCCCTCCTTCCTCCTGAGTGCCACTGATTTCAAGTGGGCCCAGGCTGCCCTTAGCATCAGCTTCAGAGACCACTGGGGATTCTAGCTTTTCGGTGGCACAGGCTGTCCCATCTGAAGACCCAGAGCAAAGTCTGAAGGGTGCTGGAATCCTTTAAAGACATGAAAACAGGACCATGGACCATGGGATGGTCCCATCAGCAGCTCTCATTTTCTATCATAATCCAAATTTCTCACCCAATCCCCTTTAGAGTGACTGGCACTAGAAAGACACCCAATAACAACAAATTGCAGTAACAGCTTAATGTACTAAGCCAGGGCTGTCCAAGAGAAATTTCTGTGGTGATAGAAATGTCCCACCTCTGAGCTGTCCAATACAGTAGCCACCTTACAACGAATACCCAAAATGTGGCTGCTGTGAATGAGAAACTGAATCTTTAAATTTATTTAATGCATTTATACTTAAATTTAAATAGCTACATGTGACCAGTCGCTACAGTCGCCTTTGGGAATCCTGGAGACAGAGTGCCATGATGAAAAAGGTGCCTTTTCAAAGGTGAAATGTTATTTGGCAGAACCATAACGTGGAGCAGGATGGGTTCTGTGCTCCCTCAGTGCCCCTTGCACCGGGCTCCGCACTCAGGGGGAGTGTGCTTGAGATTCTCTTCCTCTCCCTCTCTCTCTGTCCCTCCCCCACTTGCTCTCCCTCTCTAAAATAAATATATCAGTCTTTGAGGGGAAAAAAAAGAAAATGAAAAAATCCGGTCACCTGCTACAACATGGGCAAAACTTGAGGACATTTTGCTAAGTAAAATAAGTCAGTCACAAAAAGAGAAAATGTATGATTCCACTTACATGAGGTAAGTCAAATTCATAGAAACAGAAAGTAGAATGGTGGTTGCCAGGGGTTGTAAGGACAGGAAAATAGGGAGTTAAGGTTTAATGGGTATAGAGTTTCAGTTTTGCAAGATAAAAAAGTTCTGAAGATTAGTTTCACAACAATATGAATATATTCCACACTACTCAAAAAAATGTTAATATAAAATATAAGGCACAAAACCCATTAAATCTAAAAATACCACTGTGGGGATGTGTGGGTGGCTTAGTTGTTAAGCGTTTGCCTTTGGCTCAGGTCATGATCCCAGGGTCCTGGGATCGAGCCCCGCATCGGGCTTCCTGCTCAGCGGGGAGCCTGCTTCTCCCTCTGCCTGCTGCTCCCCCTGCTTGTGCGCTCTGACAAATAAATAAATAAAATCTAAAAAAAAAGAAAATTAAAATACCATTGTGAACTCATAACCTTATTAAACATTAAAAACTTTCCAGCTGTGACACAGAAACGGCCCAGCAGCAAGGTTATCCTACCCACCATGAGAACACATCTAGTATTTTCCTAGTCTTTTGCACTATTCTCCACTAAAAAGAAATCAGCAATCTTTATAGTGTAGCTACTCTATGTCTTGGCACAGATATACTTCGTTGTTGCTAAAATAAAAGTAATGATAATAACAACATTAACAATAATAATAAGCAGCCAACACTACTGAGTACTTGTTATGTGGCCAGATACTGTTTTGGTGCTTTACATGCATTCATTCATTTATAGCTCATAATGACCCTATATGGTGGATATTATTATCCTCTTTTTAAAGATGAGGAAATTAAAGCACAGAGAGGTTAAGAAACTTGTCTAAGGTCATACAGCTGGTAAGCGGCAAAACAGGCATTTGAACCTGCTCCAAAGTCTGTCCTCTTAACCAGTATGTTATACTGTCTCTCTGGAGACAAAAGTACTTAAAAATCCATCTGGATGGAATTGAAAGGACAGGAACCAGTCTAAAGAGACTCCTAACAGGCCAAATGCAATTTAAACACAGAAAAGAGGGTGATAATTATGGTTAACCACATTATGGAAAGCCAAGAGTCCCTAATGATTCTCAAAAAAGAAAAAAACTAACTCAACAATTATAAAACTATAGCTATAATTCAAAAATAAGGATGGCTATGATCAGGTAAGTTGAAATTTTTAAGCAGTTACATATAGTGAACAGTGCAGACAAGTATATGTCTGCCTCACAGTATTTTACTCTATGAAAGGACATGGTAGACACAGAGTGAGGGATGTGTATAGGTCAGGTTTGGGGAGGTTGCACTGGAAGAATTATGTTTACACAATCATGGCATAAACAATCTGGTAGTTTTCTGAGCTGTAAGGTCAGGTCTACAACGGATACCTACATTCAGCAAGAAATCTCCCATTTGTTAGTCAAAAGCGCTTTGATAGCCTACATGAACTGGGGGAAGGCAAAGACCTGGACAACCCTCGGCACTGGGGCTATTACCGCTTATGTCCCCTCAAAGTGTGTGAGGTACAGGTGGGCTGAAAGGTGAAAGGAACATCTATGCACATTTGGTGGATTTACACCCACGGACAAATGCCATTTGCGGATTTATTAAAGTCCAGCACAGTCTCCATAAGAACCCTCACTAACCCTCTCCCCCACACCAACAGGCAGAGAACTGTCAGGAAGCCAAACAATTCCAGAAAATGCAGGAATCGTACCCTTAACAGAAAGGCCTGGTTACAGAAAAGAATCAGCCAGAAAGAAGGCAAATGTCTTGCCCAACTGAATATCTCTGAAAGAAAACTACAGTCTCATGTCCTTGTCTCCTGGGAGATGGAATCTCCACCAATTATAGGAGATGCATTTAATTGTAAGTAAGTGGTAAACCAAAGCAGAAAATATACAACTAAGATACAATGGACCTGGATACTAAAAAAGGGGAAGTGCTAGGTTAGAAGAAAGGGTGTATGTAGGTTTGGAAAGTCCCTCTGACATGGTAAGGAAATCTTGACTCCCAACAGGGGCTTGGCTTTATGAACTAAGGCATGTTCCAATCACCCTCAAAGGAAAAATCCTATTCCATTAAGAATCTCCAGGATGACTGCCCAGAACGTACAAATTCGGTTGAGCTGAGACTGTTCCTTTAGGGTCTGACACAAGTCCTGGACACCTAATGAGGCTATGAGAACAAGTATACTAACCTCAGGAAAATAGAAATATTGGCATCCTAGAGAAATTAATCAACCCTGGAATGAAAAATTTTTAATAAGTGTAGGTGAAATACTAAGTTTTTAAAAAGATTTATTTATTTTAGAGAGAGAGTGCATAAGTGGAGGGGGGCAGAGGGAGAGATTCTTCAAGCAGACTGCCCGCTAAGCACAGAGCCCGACACAGGGCTCCATCTCACGACCCATGAGATCATGACCTGAGCCAAAATCACAAGTTGGTCACTTAATCGACTGAGCCACCCAGGCACCCCGAAATAATAAGTTTTATGATCACTGAGATAATTTTGTATTTGACGCATCTGGAAAAAACACACCGTATTAGGCTTATTATTTTATTTACTGAAGTACTTAGTAAAATTTGATTATGTCAGCACTGAAAAGAATTTGTATTGCATAATTTGTAAGTTTGGATTTATTAATAAGTCTGTGGTCGTGTTAGCTGTTGACCTTAAATACATTTGAGGGGATAATGACATAGTATACATAAGAAACCACTTTCTCAATCTCTCTTACTACTAATGATGTTAAATGGAAGTCTTGTGCAGAACTTCCAGGAAGTCTCCTAAAAAAGAGAGAAGACAGCTCTTCTTCTACCCTTCGTCAATCCTGCTGTCAGCGCATGTGATACCTCTTGCTGGCACTCAGTACTGTGAAAAGGTGAGCTGGAAGGAGCCTGCATCTCTGGGAACCAGGGAGCTTGCCATATCAGCCCAGGATGCCTTCCTCTGGACTCCTTTGTGTGATACATTTCTATCTTGTTTAAGGTGTTTTTTATTTTGAAGTTATGATTACTGGCAGCTGGGGAGGGAGAAGTTAAAGCAGCCGGCCTCCAATTCTTTCATTCTGTGTGTTGGGGGCCGGGGGCAGGGAGCAGACAGAAACATTCCCAGGGAAAAGGAGATAAATGACCATGTCTAATTTTTTCCAACGGGCCCTCCACGTGAACAGACCAGGAATTGGTAAACTATGGCCCCAATGGCCAGCTGCCTGTTTTTGTAAATAAAGTTTTCCTGGAACACAGCTATACCCATTTATGTATTGATGTATTGTCTATGGCTGTTTTTGTGCTGCAATGGGAGAGTTGAGTAGTTGTATCAGAGACGTTATGGCCCGCAAAACAAAATATTTACATAAAAATTTTTGCTGGCCCCTGAAATAAACCAGTAATATTTGCTAGGGGGAAGTGTCCTTTTCTGTAGAATGCCTGGCTAAGGATTACTTATAGTAAATAAACCCACAATCTATGAGGCAGGGCTTCCTAATGATAGCCACATACACCATACAACTCTCTGTGGCATAAAATGGAGATGTTTTGTAACTTAAATGCCCCCTACTGTGCAAAGTAATAACCCACAAAACCTTATTTGGAGACTTCATCTATTGAACTATTCTTATAATTTTTTTTTTTTTTAAGATTTTTATTTATTTATTTGACAGAGAGAGAGAAAGAAGACAGCGAGAGAGGGAACACAAGCAGGGGGAGCGGGAGAGGGAGAAGCAGGCCTCCCGCAGAGCAGGGAGCCCGATGCGGGGCTTGATCCCAGGACCCTGGAATCACGACCCGAGCCGAAGGCAGACGCCTAATGACTGAGCCACCCAGGCGCCCCTATTGAACTGTTCTTAAACTCTGTTTTGCACTATTGCTCTTTCTCTGTTTCTGTGCCAGTGTCCACTGTTTTGTTAACTGTAAGGGTATCACTGTAGGATTGAAGAACTAAGACCTTGTGGAGCTTTATTTCTGATGGATACCAAACTTATCTTGCTGTCTGCCCTTTTATTTCTGTGTGAAGTTATAAAAAACTTCTATGTTTTGGGGCGCCTGGGTGGCTCAGTCACTTAAGTGGCTGCCTTCTGCTCAGGTCATGATCCTGGGGTCCTGAGATAGAGTCCCGCATCGGGCTTCCTGCTCCGCGGGGAGCCTGCTTCTCCCTCTGCCTCTCTCTGTCTCTCATGAATAAATAAATAAATAAATAAAATCTTAAAAAAGAAAAGAAAGAAAAACTTCTATGTTTTGTTATGTAGTGGTTATTGGTGCTCCACTCAGATCCCCTTCAATCCTTTTTTTCACCTTTGTTTTTGTTTTTTGTTTTTTTTTGCCCAGAGTCTGCCTTGTTCAAACACAGAGAGCCCAACAGGCCTGGAATTTTGGTCCCCAGGATAGCCCTCATTGTATGACTGATGTGTGAGAGAGAGCTCCCTTGCTTAAGGTCGGAACAATCCAGAGGCACACATTTCATCCAGAGGTCCTTGGATGATCAGGCTGAAGGACTTTGGGAGCCCAAGCCTGGTTGGCTTCTCCTTCCCTTTTCCTGTTTTGCTCCTCCCACTCCTGTGCTAGTCTCCCTTGGGAGCACCTCCTTTAACATTTGCGCACAAATCTTGGTCTCAGGGTCTGCTGCTGGGGAGCCTGATCCATGACACCTAAGAGGCAGAGAATACCCAGCGATTTACCTTCTAAAATTGATGTTGAGATTGGCAGTCATGACAACTCCCTCAGTGATAACTGCACACATACCAACAGTAGAATCAATCATGGTTGCAATGGCACCTCCGTGAAGGAATCTAGTTACAACAACAGAGAAAGAAAAATGTTTTCAGAAGGCTGAAAAACAGAGCCTCTGGAGTGAAATCATACAAGCACATCTCCATATAATTTACTTATGAAAGGCTCACTTGGCCCATGTTCAATGAACTCAATATCCACGTCCCCAGCTTTATTTTATTCATAGCACAATAGTATAGTATTGGTAATACACCAGAACTTAATGGTAATCAGATCCCAAGCAAGCAGAAAGCTAAAATATAATTTAAGAAATCTATATCATGTTTTTATTTAACTGCACATATCATTGTTTAAAAATGTAGGAAATGAAGATAAACAGAAAGAAAAATAAAAATTGGAAGGCCTATAATCCCACCATCTAGTGACAAATCATTGTTAACATGTTAATGATACTCTCTCAAATTATACTACTGTTGCCCTGTCCCATGCTTTTGTGATTTAATATTTATAAACATCTTTCCATGTCAATAAATATGTATATCTACATTGCCACTTCAATGCCTTTATTGTAGACTATGGATATGTATGACTACAAGCAATTTTTCAGTCCAACATTTCTATTGATCAATGGGATGCTATCATTCTTACCCAGGTACTCCTTGCAGGTAAGGACCTCCTTGAAATATGCAAACTGTCCTGTTTTCAACATGATTATGGAACATCGCATATTCAAACCCCAGACCTTCCTCAAGGCTTCTGGGAAAGAGCTTGGCTTGTGACATGTGTTCTTTTATAGGCTTTGCATCTGTAGGGAAATGAGGTGGAAGCATGAGAAAACAGGTATGAGAAAGATGCCCTGACGGAGCTAAGCATCTGTACCTTGCGAGAACCACAGGTTAATGGACGACTGATTAAAATGTTAACCAGGTACAAAATTAGAGGGAATGGGAGCATCCCACAGAAACAGAATATACGATCTTTGCCGTTGTGGACTTAACAGTCTAACTGGGGACATAGTAAACATTAATGAAATCAAAACCAAGTACTTACTCACACATGGCAATCAGGAAATACAGTATATAAATGCTGAGGGCATACTAAATGAAGTAGTAAATAAGGTACATACAGAAAGTCTTCTTGGAATAAGAATGGCTTAAATGGGTTTTAAAGAAAATGAATAGTGTAATAGTAGGGAGGTTTTCTTTGCAGAAGTGAGTTTAGCCTCAGCAGAAGAAAGTTATCATACTGAATCAAAACCAGGTCCAGTTCAGTCCAATACTCTGTGTGACTAGGACTCTAAGGCCCCAAACTCAGGGTTAGAAGCATTAAGGTTCGTGAAATCAAATTAGTGAGTTGTAGTCAGACTTTAAAACAAACAGAATGCTTCACATATATCCTGGGCAAGAACTAGTATACTTGTTTAGATATGCTTTTTCAGTTATACAACTGTGCACAAGTTGTGTGTAGTGGGTTGTGAGTCAAAATAGAGGTCACTTCAAACCAAAGACTGAAAGCTATTGTTCTAAACGTAGGGCGTGTTTATCCTTACACATCTATGTTAAGATTTAATTCCCAAACTCGGATTTCTTTCTTGGCTCATCATGATTTGCCATGCATAACATTAAGTGTCTTTTACCGTTACTGAATTTATATTTACAAAGTTTGAAAAAGATATGAGATGAGAAGATTTGCAAGAACTGGGGAGAATGGCTTTTATTTAGGCCATGAACATCTGTGGGGCAGGTGCCCTGTCTTTTAGACTCAACGCTCAACAAGCAGCATACTGTGTATGCACGCACTACGCACTCTAGTGGTTGTTGAGAAAATTAAGTTCTTGGCCTAGAACTTGTTCCATCCTCCACACTTTATCCCTACAGTGAGGAGATAAACCTCAATGACCTCTGAGATCCGTCCAACTCTGACATTGGAACTTCAGGATAAGATAAGCAATAAACCCTTCTAATTTTTTACTTAGGAGTTCAAAATTTCTGATCTAGATTACCAAACCTTGAGATTATCTCATAAAAATGAGAAAAATAAAGATGGTAAAATAAGTTTGTTAGAAATGCAAACTCTTAGGCTTTACCCCTGACCTCCTGAAGCACAGCCTGCGTTTTAACAAGACTCCCAGGTGCCTCATATTTATGTTCAAATCTGAGGGGCACTGGCCTTTTACAACATGGCATAACAATGACGGTGGCAGAGGAGTGACATGGTTGGACTTGCATTTTGAATCACTCTGCCAGCTGTTGAAAGGAGGGATTGATGGGGATGAGAAAGATGAGCTAGAGGACCACTGAAACACTACAAAATCACAGTCACCAGCTCATCCCCTGGGTGAGGTGACGGTCTCCAGTGTGTGAAAGATGATAGGGGGCTAGATTTGTCCAGGGCCGGGGCTTTCCTAGATGAGTAGGCCCGAGAGGTTCAGACAAGTGAGGTCAAAGAATTGCTTCCATGGGCCCTAAACAAGCAAGCTGGAAGGAAGACAACCGTGGTCAGGAAACAGTGTCTAAATGTGTGAATGTGGAGGTGGTTCACTTGTTGCAGACAAGGCTCAGGATGTCTCTGGCAGTGTGCGTCTGGGGCTGGGTGAAGAAGAGTTCACAGTTGACAGGAAGCTAAGTGAACTGAGGAGTGGCGGAGAATGGTGGGGATTCAGAGGGTGAACAAGGTGTTGAGACACTCAGTATGTGAGGGAGAGGTTGGCAGAGGACAGCAACACAGAGAAGAGAAGGGTAAAATGTCAGACGGTAGAAACCTCAAAGGAACGGGGGTTTCTAAGAGGAACAGGAAGTAATGGGTTGAAAGCAAGTGTGGGTAACAAGGAGAACCTCCAAGTCCCCCCCTATTTAGAGAGGGCCAAGTTTCAGGCAAGAACCATAAGCCATTTGGGAAGGGAACCCTGGAAAACACTGATATTTAAGGAGTATGGAGGAGAGAGAGAAGACTGGTCACAGGTTTGTGAAAGCCAAGAGAGAAGTTCCAAGGAGAATGAGATCAACAGTGAGGTCTAGTACTGTAAGAGCCAAAAAATGCCCTCCAAATTTGGTATTTAGGTCACTAGTAGCTTACACGAAGAAACTTCCATAGAGCTGTTTGGGGAGAAACTAGATCACACTGTTAAAGACATTCAACTGTGTGACAGGATAAAGAGTTGGAATGGAATTAGTAATACAAGTTACTAATTTTTCCCCTTCACTTGTAAAACAGAGAACTTCTTATTTTTCTCTATTGGAGGTTCTACAAAGAAACTTGTGAACTCTACTGTTTTTCTTGGTTAAAAGTAGTTTTATTGTTATTTCATCTGTTCTTTCAACAAATGCTACCATGAAGAAATGGAGGCAAGGAAAGGTAAAGTAACTTGCCCAAGATCATACAGCTTTAAATTGTGGAACCCAATTGGAACCCACACACTAAACTTCAACATTAAAGTAGGAAGTTGTCAGCTTTTGGATGGTGTCCAAAGCCACGTAACTGAATGGGATTACCAACAGAGTATAGAGAAGAAAGGAGTCCTGAGGGCTGAGATGTGCAGCACCATAACATTAAGAGTTTGAGGATAATGAGGAACCAGCAAAAGACATGGACAGGAAAGGACCAGTGAAGTAGGGAAGTGTGCTGTCTTGGATGCCAAATTCAAGGGGAAAGGAGGCACTGGCTGTACCAAAAGCTGAGAGGTCACTGGTTAACATCATGAAGGTCACTGTGCCTTTGACAAGAGTAGTTTCAATGGAGCAATAAAATTCTGACTGGAGTGGGTTCAAGAGCGACTGGGAAGAGAGAGAGAGTTGTGGCATGTCTGCGCACTGATGAGAAAAGACCCAGCACAGTGGGAGGTCTTTAAGTAGTAGGCCAATGGGGAGGGAACGCAGTGCACGGAAACAAGGCTTGGCTCCCCTAAGAGGACGGGCAGTTCATTGGTAACAGGAAAAAGCAGAACACCAGGCACAGATGCAGGGAGTGGATAAATGAGACAGTGGGAGCTTGAAAGTTCTCTTCTGATTGCTTTTATTTTCTCTTAGGGGAACAGGAGGCAAGATCAACTGGAATCAAGGCTTGAGAAGAAGGTAGGATATGGCCATCTAGGAGAGCAGGAGCGTGAATAGACAGGGGAAAATGAAAAATGCTTGTCAGGCAACATTAAGGACATACTTGAGGTCATTTTGTAAAAAACGGTAATAATCCCGGGCAGCCCGGGTGGCTCAGTCAGTTAAGCGTCTGCCTTCAGCTCACATCACTATCTCAGGGTCCTGGGATCGAGCCCCCCCCCATCAGGCTCCCTGCTCGGCGGGGAGCCTGCTTCTCCCTCTTCCTTGGCCCCTCCTCACCCCCTACTTGTGCTCTCTTTCTCGCTCTCACAAATAAATAAATAAAATCTTTAGGAAAAACAAACAAAAAACCCATCACAATCCCCAAAGTAGCCTAAGGACGAGTTTGGATGACTGAAAGATAATGAGTAAATTAGGAAATATCTGTATAAGCTCCATGAGGTCAGGGACCCTATCTGTGTACTCAGGCCTATTCTAGGACTACAGTATCTAGGGCAGCCCAGACGCTCAACAGATAGTTATTGAAGGAATAAATACTGGATTTGCAAACAAGAAGCCAAAAAGGGGGGCACCTGGGTGGCTCAGTCGGTTAAGCCTTTGGCTCAGGTCATGATCTCAGGGTCCTGGGATCAAGCCTCACATCGGGCTCTCCACTCATTGGGGAGTCTGCTTCTCCTTCTCACTCTCCCTCTGTGCTCTCTCTCTCTCTCACTGTCTCTCTCTCAAATAAATAAATAAATAAAATCTTAAAAAAAAAAAAAAAAGACTTATAAAAGAAGCCAAAAAGGTCTTTATAGGCTGACTCTAAAAATGAAGAATATATTAGGTATATACATAAACTTCAGTAAGGTTCAACAAATTGGCCACGTAGGTGCAGAAGAGGGGAGACCAATAGTTCACACAAATGACACACGGTGTTAGCTGACTGTTAGTGGCAAGTGGGACATGGCTATCTACCTAGTGCTAATGTCTTATTCTACACTGAAAGGATATAACTGGTTTCAAGCTTAGTTCTGGGAAGCATACACTAAGAAGAATTCTGAGAAACTGGAATATGTCCTGGAAAAAGCAACCAGGCTTGTAAAGGAGATTGAAATATCCTCTGGGAGAAATACCTGAAAAAACAGAGAAGAGAAGCCTGGCAACAAGAACTGTCAGGCACAGGAGTGAGATGCATGTATCTAACTCCTACACATGAAAGGATGCTTATTCTGTGTGTTCCCAGGTGGTAGAACTCAACAAATGGGTGAAAGGCACAAGAGTGACTGTAGCTCAGTACAGTCTAAGGAAGAAATCACTAAGTAGAGCTGTCTAAAATGGAAAAAGCCCCTTTGTCCCAAGCACCCTATGACTGGAGGGGTTCAAGTGAAGTCTGGATGAATGGTCATAAGGGTTAATGTAGAAAGCCAGAGAAGACAGAGAAAAAGTTAAGACTACAGTAGTGGGTCCCAACCTTCCTTCCATTCCAAAACAAGGGAGCCCACTGTCCTCTCCAACAGTAGTAGCTTAATAAGATTGCTGGGTTGTGAGCTCCACAATGGTGGGCATCCCAGCTGTTTTCTTCATTGCTATACCCCAGTGCCTAGCATAACGTCTGACACACAGTAGGTGCTCAATAAATATTTGTGTAAGGAAGAAAGCTAATAATCTCAAAAGAGAAAAGAAGGAAGCAGTAATGATGACTAAGAACCCTTCCCTAAGTGATTCTGATGGTCCATCCTTATATCCCAGACTAAATAATCTTCTAGGTCCT